GTTTTTCTGAAACGATCTCATGGATAAGACTTCGGGATATCTCTGGAAAAAGGTTGTGGAGTTCATCTAAAGTTAAACGACGATCATTGCGAATCGCATTTTCAATTTTTGTCGTCAACTCATCCGTGATAAGGGAGGGTCTGCCTCTCCCACTTTCGTCTTCAAGCGAATGTCTTCCTGCCTTAAATTCTCGGACCCATCTCCGCATCATAGATTCACTCATCACACTCTCTCCATATACAGAAACAAGCTGTTTGTGAATATCAACCGATTTAAAATCTTGAGCAAAAAGAAACTGAATGATGCCGCGCAAAACAACTCGAGAAGGAATCGGAATGGAGGTGGCGGGACGCGAAGTGGAGGACTCCATTTTGATAACCTCTCCTGACCGTGTTTCACGAGCTACTGACGCCGAACACCGCTCATTCTATTCGGTAGCTTCCCCTCTTCAATGCTGTGTTGCCAGCTCGCTTATACATCGACCTTACTAAACGTATAATACAAACGGAACTTATTTTCTGGATATCCCTCGTACAAACGAAATTTTTGGATGCACCTTTCTCTTAAACTAAAACTTCTACCGCGTTTCTAAAAACATGGGATTGTTCGTTTAGGTTTTCCGCAATACGCTAGCTACTTTTCATGAACGTGCAAGATCTGAAACTCTTATATGCAACACATATTGTGATGTGTTGACTACAGAAGCCGATAACAAAACTATAAGTCTTTAATTTTTTTTCGTTTTTCGTATTCAAATCAAGCTGGCGCTTTGCGTTGTTGTCAATATTTTAATTGTGGAGAAGGATTTTTCAGTCCATAAACACAGTTATGAGAAAGGTGCTTTTAAAATTTAATGATAAAACAGGACACTCCAGCATCCCCTTAAAATCACAGAAAATGTGCAACAATATTTTACAACAATATTAACGCTAAATGGTAGAATATTGTTGCACGTTGGGGAAAAAAAAATATCACTCACGTTATAATACGTCTTGCGCGCGGACAAAGCAGAACAAAGACTGACGTTGAGAATCGATCTTCGCCGCAGCGAGCCTACCAAGGATTTATCTATAGGAGACAGTTGTATATAAAACACTTTAGATCATAAGTGCGTCACGAGAAAAGTTATCGCTTATATCGTTGCGGTACTCTTTATAATGTAGCCGCGATTATTTACAACCCATCGAATTGCTGAAAGTTCACGCAGCACATCTATTTTCACACCTATAATTTCATTTTTTTCTTACGCGAAAAGGTACATACATACATACATACATACGTTCACACATACGTACATATGTACATGATTCGTGACACGACAAAAAAAAAACGGTTTGGTTGATGTTTATCTAAACGGAGTACGATAGCGCGTCGAGATGATAAGATGAATGGATGGATGGATGAGAAGTAAAGAAAGTATATATATATTAGGTGTTGGAATTAATTCGTAGCGTTTTACAAGTGATGGGAAGTACTTTCATTAATGTATTTTTTAATACTCATGTGAAATAAATAACATTCTTTCATTAAAAACGCTACGAATTAATTCCTTAAAGATATCACTATCGCGTATAGCGTTTTTGGACTCGATGTTGGAGAATCGCGTATACTTGACATCAACTGTATCGACGAGTCAGACTAATCGTTCGAACGTTACATCGATACATCCATCAAACTCAAACATACATCGTAGTGTTGTTTCGGTCATCATCATGCGTACGGACGAAGAATTGAGACGTACGAGCGTAGCATCGTTCAGTATACAAACGCTGACGGTTAGCGGTCCAACGCTTATAAAATTATTCTTGTATTCATTTCGCAGCATCTTGTAAATATTTCAATATTCGCTGCTCATAGAAGCTCTTCCACATTTCGAGAGACAGCAGCAGTCCATGTCCACGATGATCTCCCAGGGCGATCTGCACGTAACTCGGACCAACGTTGATTCCAATTTCCAAAAATTTGTAGCCCGTAGTCATTAGATCATAACGTCTGCTCAATAAACGCACCTTGCGATGCTCCATGCTGTGTACATACTGCAACCGCACTCACGAGTGTGGCGCAACTTCGTCGCACATTCACAGCTAAGGTTTTCGTAGGCGATCGGATGACGGGAGGCGTTAAACGTAACGCGACAGAAATGCGTCTTCACGCGGCCGTTCTTAAGGGCGATACACAATCACAAAACAATAATTGAGCGCCAGGCACAAGCGAGCGTGCCACTCTTTCTCGAAATTACGCGATATTTTCTTTATGCAATATTCTAATGAGCTGCGAATGTCGACGGGCTCTCTACCGGTAGCTCAGCCTCGGAAATGGCAGAGGGGGCGGTTCGCGGTCGAGGATAGCGGATCGTTTGGAGGAGCAAATAGGAGTGAGAATAAAGTACACGAATCAACAATAGCAAAAGTAACAAAAATATATTAAATATATTAAATAAGTCTTCGACTTGCATTTACATCTGGCGACACAATCGAAACAATAAGCTCTACTTGAGCGCGATAACCGATTCACGCAGGCCTCGAGGCTTTACGTTAAATGTCATATCAACTTCATTAGATTCCCGCGACACGAGCTCACGCCACACAGGCACTCGCCCGTTCCGCACGGAACATACGCGAGTCTCATTTGGTAAAGCGAATGATTAGAGGCCTTGGGGCCGAAACGACCTCAATCTATTCTCAAACTTTAAATGAGTAAGATCTCTGACTTTCTTGAACTATGAAGTCACGAGTAGAAATTGGATCAGAGTGCCAAGTGGGCCATTTTTGGTAAGCAGAACTGGCCCTGTGGGATGAACCAAAAGCAGAGTTAAGGCGTCCAACTCGACGCTCATGGGACACTATGAAAGGCATTGGTTGCTTAAAACAGCAGGACGGTGACCATAAAAGTCTGAATCTGCTAAGGAGTGCGTAACATCTCACTTACCGAAGCAACTAGCCCTGAAAATGGATGACGCTGAAGCGTCGTGCCTATACTCTGTCGTCAACGGCAAGTGGGGTGGCTGCGTGCATGCAGTAGGAGGGTCGCGGCGGGTGCGCAGAAGGGTCTGAGCGCGAGTCTGCCTGGAGCCGCCGTCAGAGCAGATCTTGATGATATTAGCAAATACTCCAGCGAGGACTGACGTGGAGAAGGGTTTCGTGTGAACAGCCGTTGCACACGAGTCAGTCGATCCTAAACCTTAGAGAAATCCTAAGCCTTAGGAGAAATCCTATGTCAATGACGGCGTACGATACTCTAATGTTTGAGAGAGAGAGACACACGTCCGTCGGGCGAAAGGGAATTCGGTTCCTATTCCGGAACCCGGCAGCGGAACCGCATACAATTCGGGCCCTCGTAAGAGTGTTCGTCGGGGTAACCCAAAATGACCTGGAGACGCCGTCGGGAGATCCGGGAAGAGTTTTCTTTTCTGTATAAGCGTTCGAGTTCCCTGGAAACCTCTAGCAGGGAGATAGGGTTTGGAACGCGAAGAGCACCGCAGTTGCGGCGGTGTCCGGATCTTCCCCTCGGACCTTGAAAATCCAGGAGAGGGCCACGTGGAGGTGTCGCGCCGGCTCGTACCCATATCCGCAGCAGGTCTCCAAGGTAAAGAGCCTCTAGTCGATAGACTAATGTAGGTAAGGGAAGTCGGCAAATTGGATCCGTAACTTCGGAATAAGGATTGGCTCTGAGGAGCGGGGCGTGTCGGGCTTGGTCGGGAAGCGGGTCTGGCTGACGTGCCGGGCCTGGGCGAGGTGAACGTTCCGGTGTTCTCGCGCCGGTACCGGGATCCGAGCTCGGTCCCGTGCCTTGGCCTCCCGCGGATCTTCCTTGCTGCGAGGCTTCCGTGGCG